AAAAATTAATAGGATCTTTAAAGGCAAATTCTTTGATTTTTTTCCTACAGTGGAACATGCCCTACACTGACAAAGCACTGTTTTCCTTAGAAAGAACATCAAAATGAAATGATACATTTTAGGCATTTTTATGACCCAGAAATATGATATTTTTGGTAATTCAGTTAGATGTAGTAATGCAACGCTAAATTGAAATAAAGAAACCAATTATATAATGGCCTCATTACCAAAAGTAATACTGGGCACAAATGATGTTTCCCAACAAAAGAAATCCCCTGAATCCTTTTTTTCCCCTAAATGTTTGGCCAAAAGTGAGGGAAATTCTAAGATCTAAAGTCATTTTCTGAACATTTTTATAAGCTTTCTTTTAGGATAAACATAATTTTAATTAGTTAAAACCTTATTGCAAAGACATGGGACAACTTAAAAATTGTAGTTTTGCGGATTAAAGACGAATAATATCATTATGTTTGTCCATTTTCTACAATTCTCCATGAATGAAACTTTGTCATCTGATTACTATAGAAACTACATTTGGGTCTCTTATAAATGCTGTTTGTTTCAAGAAGCTGTGCTAAAACGGAACTCTGTGAAAAGGGCAAACTCTTAATGCATTTGCCCTGACATCAATTTTTTCCTTGAACCATTTGCCTTGATTTTTTAAATTCAAGGATGGTATGTGATCCTATTCACATTTCAAGAGAATCTGACAATCTTTTTTTAATTGAGGAATTAAAAGAGTACATCCCATATAATTTTTTTGTTCCACCACAGATCCAAATGCTGCTCCTGGGAACACTCATGGTGGTGCTTGGTCCGTAGGGGCAGCCCAGCGGCCTCCCATGCAGCCGGTCATAATGACAAAGACTCAGCAACCTTTACAAAGTGAGTGCACACTTCCACAAGATTGCATATGTTTTCCTCCATTTTCTTTTTTTTTTCATTGATGTTCACTCTTTTGATATTTGATTATCTGAGAAGAACCTAATTGTTTTGCGGTGGTAGATAAGATTCTGTTGCTGTTGACTCTTAAGTGAGATAAAAAGTGATATGGCTTTGAAGATGGATACCAGACCATCAGTTCCTATAATAACAATCTAAGTGCATTTGTTACTTGCAGTAACTTTAATACCAGAGATCATAAGCAGATTCTGTCTCCCAAATATTTATTTATATATTTGTTTTATTATTATTATTATTATTATTATTATTATTATTATTATTATTATTTTCATTCCAGACCAGGATGTGAATCAGCCAATACCTGTGCCAATGCCTCAGCCGCCTAACCAGGTGGGACAAGGGACAGGGATGAACATGCCAAATCAGCGACAGGTAGTGTGGCAGGGCATATTGGAGTGGCAGGAGAAGAAGGGTGACAACAACACCCGAGTGGCCCACCAAGTGACGTGCAAAATGACATCGCAGGTGGTTAACGGAGAGCCAGAAGTGTAAGTGGGGAATTCTTAAAGGGGACAGAGTGCATGGGTACGTGTGCATATGCACATGCTTGTGTGCATGTTTGTATGTATATGTATAATCACTCATATCAAAGATGTCTTGCTGGACTGAGTCTTATAAATTGTCACTTCAAACAAGGAACTGAAATTATTTTCCACTGGCCATTTTAGACACTAAATATGCATGAATGTTGTTGTTAGATTATGTATAATGTGTGTAATGTTGTTAGTTTTGTTGCACTTAAGACTTTATTAAAACTTTTTATGGCATTTGACATAATTTAGTGAGTATGTCCATTTATTATCTCAGAAAAAATGAAATGCTTGTAGATACACTTATCTTACACTTTGAGTAAGATTGGCATTGTGTCATTGATGGTAAAAAAGTCTCACGAGTATAGTTTGAGTCTGTAGACCTGAAACTCTTCCAGATGGGGGAAGCATGATTAATCAGATTTACCTTGTTTCTAATTGCACTTTGATCCTGTTGTTGTGACACACAGACCCATATATGTTCCATGATGTTAAAGTCAGGTAAACATTCAGACCAAATGCATCATGTTTATTGACTGTTGATTACTATTAGATAATGCCTTTCTTTGACAACAAAACCTCGCGCATTGACAGATGGTGATGAAGGTTTGCCATTTTCATATAATAATGCTGATAATCATAGAAATGGTGCATCTGGTCTCAGAAGTAAAAAATGTTGCAACTTGCCTCTCCTTTTGCAGAAAAACTGAGGGTTGGTCAACTAAACTCATAATGCAGATGATACCAAAAAACATCCTCGGCTCCATCGGAAACACTTTCTTCAAGAATGTGAAGACGGTCATGTTCTTGCCAGATCAGAGTCCTGCACTGGATGCTCTAACTAACTTCTTGTTCAGAGGGATGGTAAGTGTGGGAATGTAGGAATTTTGTAAAGCTTACTGGTATCATTTGAATATATGAAATTCAGAAGTATTTTATAAAAGGTTATAGAAATGAAATGTAGGTAGATAGTAAGACCAATAGAAAGATTGAATAATTGATTAACCCTTGATGACAACAGATTTTTACCTACACTATGCTGAGCCAGATGATGGGCTCAGTGAAAAATTAGAAGCACAAATTATGTTTTCCTCACTTTCTTTTTTGCAAATGCTATAGGATTTAAGGTCGTAGCTCAGCCACATGAAATGGTTAGCATCTATTCTTGCCATGACTGACAAAAATGTATCTGGGTATCTAGTATTTATGTCATGCACAGTTGAGTTTACTACATTTTGTGTATACTAAACAGTGATTAGCTTGTTTGTCTAAAGTAGGAATGAAGTAAATTCTCATTGGAAAAATCAGCTCTGCTACAGCTGAGATTGTAGATAAGAGGGATCAGTCCAATCAATGATATCATTGCAGGTTACATATTTTTAGTACTAGATGGTTTAGATAAGTTTATGATTAATGGAATAATAACCCAAAGCTGATGGGCATGAAATGTATGTATATGCCATGCCCACTCTGAGTTTACTTTATTAATTGTTTTTATACATAGATGATTACACTTGCACTTGCTCCAATAAGTCAATTACTAGACCTGACTGTCTCACCTGTTTACCTATTTCCTTGATTTTCAAAAGTATTTTACATTATCTTATTTTGCAGTCACTCATGGCAGTAACATTTTAGTAATTATAATGTCTATGTCACAGATATTTTTAGGATTAGTAAAAAATATGTTATTCCTTCAATTTCAAGGAAAGGTGAAATCAGGTCAGGTCACAAGGTCTACTAATTGACTCCTTTGAAGCACTAGCAGAGCCATCTTTTTACAGAATTTCACACAAAAAAAGTTAAATGAGCAGCATTTTCCCAGCCACATTGAGTTAAGTGTATAAAAACTTGCTGAAAATAGTAGAATAAAGCAGATGGTAATAATTAAATATTTAGATACATATACAAATGGATGTATTTATATTCAGCATAAAACATTAGCCGAGGGGAGAAGGAGCTTGGGAGAAAGGGAAGAAGAAGGGAAGTAAGAGGGAAAGATGGAGGGAGAAGGAAATGGAAATTGTAAGGGAATAATTTGACATCTTTCCATTTCTGTGAGGAGTAGGTATTTCTGACAGAGATATAGTTGAAACTGTAAAATATATCTTGTGCCCTGAAGATATCCATTCTCATTCATACTTTTTCCACATGCATCCATTTCCACCAACAGGCTGGCTGCGTACACGTGTCAAACCCATCTCCATCACAAAACGAGGTCAAAGTGATCATCCTGCTGTTTTCATGCGAGAAGAAGGCCTACGTCGGCTTCATTCCAGTTGATCAAGTCTCCTTTGTGAATAAAATCAGGAGTGTTATTCAGGGTGCACGAAAAGGACAGGTATGGAATCTTTATTAATGTTTACACCTTCTAACATGGATATTTGTGCATATTTGTATGTGGGTAATTGTGTTGATCATAAGTATTTGTAGACATGAGTTAACCTAAGAACAACAAGTGGCATTCATCAGTGCACACCACTCTGCACCTAGGTGATTGTCCATCTCATAGTAGCATGGGCAAAGCCTCATCGCAGTGAGCAGATGGTAGGTGTTATGAGGCAGGGTATTTGCCATGTGAGAATTTTTTTGAGCAAAGTGTAAAGATTGAGTTATGGCTAGTTAGAAACCCCCCACACAAATAGAACTACTGTAATGAGTATTATATCCAACATATTTTTGATAGTTACTGTGTCCTATTGTAACTCCAACCCTTTGGTCGATGGTTTATGATAATTCAACATTTGTGCTTTGCTTCTATAGATACAGAGCATTCCATTTTGGCTTGAGCCTCTATGTATACTCAGCTGTATATTTATGTGCACATGCACAAATATATACCCATGTGTGTGTGTGTGTGTGTGTGTGTGTGTGTGTGTGTGTGTGTGTGTGTGTGTGTGTGTGTGTGTGTGTGTGTGTGTGTGTGTGTGTGTGTGTGTGTGTGTGTGTGTGTATACACACACACACGCACACACAAGTAGAACATTGTACACCTGGTAGAGGGTTTGATAAATCATCTAGAGGTGCCTTTTGACAAAAGAGCTATGTTAGTCCTTGTTAATTCAAGGTTATGCATGCTCCATATCAAGCATAATGAAGTAATTGTCAATAATTTTATATGGTGGTGCATTGATAATACTAGTTGTGGCTAGTATGGTATTATTCCCCTAACACCAAATGGCTACATGGTCAAAGGCCAGGCAAGAAAACCCACACTCGTTGTTTTTTAAAGTAGGCTGCCAGAAGATTTGAAATAACTGTTGTCCATTTGTAAGACAGTATTTTACTTTCTCCACAAAAATAGAACAATTTATGCTATCTTAGGTTAAGAAATGGTGTGCAGTATAAATTATTTTGACAGCCAAAACTAAACATCAATATGGAAGATCATTTTCAGCTTATTCACATACCTACTCAAATCCCTGCTATCTCAGGACAGTTTCCTTAATATAAGCCAGCTGTATTTTTTAGTAGATGCCACATACATCATGTCCTAGACTTAGATTAAACTTAGTATGCACATTTTAGAATGCAAGCTGCTAGCAGAAAACTACTCACAATAGACAATAACTTGATTTGTTTATTGAATACCTTTTTATTTTACCAACAACTACATTGTTTAGCTTTCTCATTTAATGCTTCTCACTGCAGATCCCAGGCAATATCATGGCGCCCGTGACTGGGCCCAATGTGTCTGGTGGTGGACCGGTAATGGTTGTCCAGAATAGCCCGGGGATGAATCAGCTGCCGACCAGTTCAGGTACGATTCTTTTTGCGGAGAGAAAAGAACTCATTCTGTGGTTGTGTATAGGTTGTGGTTGTTGTGGGGTTTGCTTTGTGGATTTTAATTGGTTGAGGAGTCCATGAAGAGCTGGGAATGATAAGAAATCAAGGAGAAGAAGTGGAGGGATTATATGTAGGTACGTCTCTTTATTCGTAGAAAAGATTGTATTATGGTATATTGAAGCAAATCAGAGAAAACACAATATATTTTCCTAGATATATAATAGATCTGTCCATCAGACCTGTGGTTGGCTGCCCATCATTTGGGGAAAGTTTTAGATGTTTTTCTATTATGAATCCTTGCCTTAATTTTACAAAGGATTTGTTTTTGGGTACGAGGGCTTCATTGTCTTTTTCCATGTCTACAGGGGACTTCCTTTCTTGCAGCCCGATAATAGGAGGTTTTAGAAGAAAAGCTAATTTTAAAGGAACAGATTAGCTTTTTATCCCTATTGTAACAGTATATAATAGGACACTGGACAAGATAGAGAAACTTGTGTCCACAATTTTCCAAGTAAATGGAGCATTCTCAGCTGACAAAGGGACAATCATGTATGTTGTGACCACTTCTTCCAATAATATAGGTACTGAAACACTTTGCCATCCATCCTTCTTGTGGCGCCAGGAATGTAACCTTGATTTTTAAGAGGTTTACAGAAAATTTACTTTTTTTTTTTTTTTTTTTTTTTTTTTTTTTTTTTTTTTTTTTTTTTTTTTTTATAGAAAAAGAAAAAAAAGGAAAAATAGAGAAGACACCAACATTTTCATTCCTACTCGTTTTCAAAATGTTAGGGTTAATAAAGAAAGTTAAGTGTTATTTCTTACATGTTTGACGTGGCTTAAAAAAATGGGAACCGCAACATCTTACCCACTTCTCAGTAAAAAGAAGATATTTACTCACTGTGATTTGCTTAATGATACCTAACAAAAGACATTTCTTTCCCTCTTGGTGCCACTTCATGAATCACCTCTGCCCCTCAGGCTCGAGCATGAACGTCATGTCTACGCAGAGCATGATCATCCAGCAGAACCCGCAGCTCACACAGGCTCTCAGTCAGCCTATTAGTCAAGGTATTACTTCTATTAGTATTAATATTATTTAGTATTATCATTAGAATATTATTTACTATTTATTAGTAATTTCTATATTTATTGTAATTATGATGTAATTATATTTGTTGTGTAATGAATATTATTGTCATTGTTAATTTGGGGTTTGAAGATTTAAATGTGTGTGTATGTGTATGTGCATGCATGTGTATGTTTGGGAATGTGCATGTGTACATATGTCCATACATGCATTGCTGTGTACTTGTGAATGTGTGTATGTGTACTTTCTGTATGTATTGTACTGTATGCAAGAGTATTCATTTATTTGCCATCTTATCTGGAAAAAAAAAAAAATGGTTTTGCTTCTCTTTGCAGGTGGGAATGCCATGATGGGTGGAGGCCAGATGTCACAGATGCCAAATGGCAATGTGTCTCAGGGCTTAGGCCAGCCAGGGCCGGGGGGGCCAGGGGGGCCAGGAGGGCCGGTTAATGTTCAGATGGCAACGGGTCAGTCAGTCTTGGCCACGCAACTCACCACAAGGCCAACACTCAATATACAACAGCAGCAGCAACAACAGCAACAGCAGCAACAACAACAACAACAACAGCAACAACAGCAGCAACAATCCAATCTCAGGAAAGCAAGAAAGAAAAAAATAGGTAGTGTCGATGATAGATTTCAAGAATGTAAGAAACAGAGTGCATAATGTTTTGACATTACAAAATGCATGTAAGTAAAAGTATTAATTATCAGCTGATGGAAAAGAAAGAAACTCGGCATACTGAGTACTCCAGAGACTGGGATAAGTTGCCAGTTTCTTTATTTCTAGAGATTGGATGCATTGTAGTCACTTCTGGTAATTAAAGACTTGGACTCAAGGATGAAAAGCAAACAATCCCCTTAAAAGAATGTTTTTGTTACAAAGTTTTATTGTTGGTGCATATATTTTTCATAATAGCATTGCATTTTGTATTGGGTGATAGTATTGAGAGATTACAGAATCTAAACCTTTCCCTCGCTTAAGTTTAAATCATGTGGGTATAGATTAGTATATTGTTACTATGACTGAAAACTAAAATTAATTTAGATTATCTATGCCTTTACTCTATAGGCTTCTGTTTTCTTACAGCAACAACAGCAACAGCAGCAGCAGCAGCAGC